TCAGGGCAACTTGAATCTATGCTCCTGGGTGGCCATCTTCAACTTTTGCACTTGAATAAACTCTTTTTAAACTAGATTCTGTTGTTATGACCGAGTAAGTGAGATGAAGCTATGCCAGCAAACTGAGCTTAATTAATTATGAGTTTATTAGCGAGCGGGTCAAGAATAGGCAAATGAAAACTCTTGACAAATTGGTGCAGTTTGTGACAAGCTTTTATAGGTAAAATTTGCAGTATTGGCTACATAGCAACTTAGTGACCATAGCAACTATTAACTAACAACTTGGCAACCAAAATGGGAACTTTTGATTGTTAGGGAGGTTTGATTAATTTTATGTCCTAGGTATAGCCAACGTCCAGAAAGATCCTGGAGTTCTGGCATTAAGATATAGTTTAAGGTGGTTACATAGAGACAAGGAAGAAGAATCATTACACAATGGAGTTACCTTGGTTAGGTTACTAACAGAATATAAGAACAAAATATCAAAATGTAACAATGGGGTTTTGCAAAGCATAACATTTGATTTCGGTTAACAAAGCATACAATTACATGGAACTTATGGCTAAGGAGTTTTCTAACAGTCAGCAGCAATGGTCAGCACAACCTGCCCAAAGGAGACAAAGCTGGGGGTCTGTGGTCATGGGAATGTTACTGTAATTACACGTAGGCATTGATTCTTAGGTCAGGCAGGTAACTAAGATGAAAGTTTTAAACAAAATGGAGTAAGCTGGTTAATGTTATTATTTTGCTAGCAATTTGATTTTATTAACTGATTTAGCTCATTTCACTGTCCTTTTTGATTTAACTTGACATTTGATGAGAAAAAAAAAAAGATTCCTATCCAGGGCAACTGTTTGTGTGAAATCTACATGTTTCCTCCATGTCTGCCTAGGTTTTTTTCTGGGTATTTCGACTGTTTTTCCCACATCTGAAAGATGTTCGCATCAGGTTTATTGGCATGTCTAAATGGTCCTGGTCTGAGTATGTGTGTGTGTGTGCTCGTTCACCCAGCCATGAAATGGCATTCTGTCCAGTGTTGGTACCTGCCTTGTGTCCTGAGTTGCCAGGATTGGAATAAGCGGGCTGGAAAATAAATGAGTGAATAAATGAACACAAATTATTGTACAGTCAGGCATTGTGAAGTATCTAATAAGCATACAGATGCAAAACAGTAAATGATGCAGTATGAATGTGCTCAGTGAGCACACCAGATTTGTAATTGTTTGTTTTTGAACCTTTGGTAGGAAGTGCTCTTTAAAATTTTCACTTTGCAAACATTTAGCCCTTGATTTAACCCACCATGACAACCACTGACACCCACTGATTCACCAAAAATTGAGTAAATCATTATCTCACTTGTTTTTATTGATCCTACTTAAATATATGTATAGCTTGCATTTTTTCAGTGTTTAATATTAAAGTGTCTTGGTCTTTATTTAGAAGATTGATGATATTTTCTTTTCTTTCTTTTTTTCTTTTTTGAGTTGGGAGTCTCACTCCATCACCCAGGTTGGAGTGCATTGGCACACTCACAGTTACCCCAGTGTCGACCTGCTGAGCTCAGGCAATCCTTCTGCCTCAGCCTTCCAAGTAGTTGGAACTACAGTGCATGCTACTATGCCTGGCTAATTTTTTGGTTTATTGTAGAGATGAGGTCTTGCCAAGTTGCCCGGGTTGTTCTTGAACCCATGGGCTCAGGCAATCCCCTTCGCCTCAACCTCCCGAAGTGCTGGAATTACAGGCTTGAGCCACCGTGCCTGGCCAATTGATGATATTTTCATGATCGGAAATAGGCCGCAGGAACTTAACTCTTATCTGCATCAACTAGCCTGTGGTAAAATTGTTTTCATTACACATTATTTCACTTAAAGTCACAGTTTCCAAGAACTTGTATTAAGGTAAAAGTTGAGACCATGAATGTGTTGCTTGTGTGGCTGGAGGAAGCTGGCTGGGATAGCTGGGATTCATGAGGTCAGAGAGTTGGGTGGGTTATCCGTGCTGTTGTTGAGGTACCTCAGGACGATGGCAGAGAATGAGGTAGAGTGGAAAACCATGAGCCAGGCAGTAAAATTTCTGAGGAATACGGACATTAGTAGATGATCCTGGCACAGCTTGCTACCCTAGACTGCAAAGGAGAGTTGAGAAATCAGGGTGTTGAAACAACAGTCTAGAAGTGGCAGTGGAGAGCAGTGGAGAGAGAATGCTGATGCTGTAAATCTACTGATGCAGAAGAGAAAACCAGTTTAAGTAAGTGGAAGGATGTGGTTTTGTGAAGAGGTCTTCAACGTGATTTGAAAAGGGTCTGGGAAATGATATAATCCATTATATTAATGTGGAAACAGATGTAGAGAGGCAGAATGATTTTCTTAAGCTTGAACAGTAAACTCATGGCAGTGAAGGTATGGGTAAAACAGTATGGGTATCGGTTAGGAAATAAGCCTTTGAATCAGATGGACCTGACTTGAATATCAGCTTCATTATTTACTGACTGTGAGATTTGGGGTGTTACCTAATATCTCAGTCTTCTTTTCTGTAAAATGGGACACTAAATACCTACTGCAAAGGATTGTTTAAGGATTTAATGAGGTTGATACATGTGAAGTGCTTACTGTGTGTATTGTGTCTGGCACACAGAAAGTGCTCAATACATTTTTAACTACAAATGCTGGAATTGAATCAGTGGAACTCTGGCTCTTATTCCCATACTTTTTCAGTCATTCCACACTGACCTGACATTTTCTTTACTTGGAGGACATTAACATTAGGCAGTCCACAGTCACTGGAGCTTTCCTAAAGTTCTCACTCCAGACTTATTCCCTGTTAGTAAGATATGGGGCCTTGGGCCTCTGGCTTCGATGGAGGCTTAAAAAAATCTGCTGACAGTAGAAGCTGATTTAACCACTAGTATACACAGTCTGCTTCCTGTGATAGATGAAAGATTTTTGCTGAATGAGATGCTAAAATGAGTGTTTGAAGGGACCTTCTGTCATGTATTTTAAGAGATCTTTAGAAATACGAAAAGTTCTATACTCTCCTTATTGATCCTACATCTGTCTGAAATTGCTTAAGCATGAGAAATGAAATAAAATCAGGACAGCCAGAGATTATCTAGAAACAGATAGGTTTAGCAACTTGCTCTGTTCCTGGTACACCAGGACTTGTAACCCATCCTCCTCACTACTGGTTTGTTTATTTTTAAAATGTATTCTTGGTTACTAACTGCTGTTTTCACTGAAAATCAATACATACACAAGGAAAGTAATTCCAAGAGTGCCTGATACGTAACCAAAGATTACCTTCATCTTATTCCAGACCCTTTCCTTCCAGTTCTTCTGGTTGCCATTACTCTTACTAGTTTTTTTGGCATCCTTCCAGAAATATTTTTTCTATGTAATATTTTGTGTCTATACAAGCATGTATATATTAGTATTCATTCTTTTTTTTATCAATATTTTTTATTATGTTGTTGTGGGGTACAGTTAAGGGTTAGGTATACAAGTACGTTTCATTCAGGCACCCTGTTGATAAGAGATGTTTCCCTGTCCCCAGATAAGTATTTATTCTTTAAAAAAACAAATGAGGACATAGTCTACATGTTATTTAATGGCTTACTTTTTTCCACTCACCATCACACAGTTTGGAGACAGTTTCATATCTGACTATAGAATCTTTTGTCTTTCTTTTTAATAATTACATAATAGTCTATAATATGATTATAGCACAAATTATTTAGCCTTAACATTTTGACATTTTTTTTTTTTTTTTAATGGCAACGCTGTTCTCCTAGTTACTCAGGCTCCAAACTTTGGAGTAATATCTAACCCCCTTCCTGGTATGTAGTAAATCCTGCCAAGTTTTCCTTATAATATGTTTCCTATTTATTCATTCTTTTTCATTCTCATTGCTGCTTCCCTAGGTTAGACCTTATCATCTCCTATAGTATCTCCCTATCTCCAAATTTTCTGTCTCTGCATATCTTGCATACTTACTATTGACGAAGTTTCCTAATGCCAAAGTTCTTATCGTGTGACTCCTCTTCTTAAAAACCTTCAATATGGAAGGCTGGGGCGGAAGGATCACTTGAGCCCAGCAGGCCTAGGCTGCGGTGGCCGTGAGCACGCCACTGCACTCCAGCCTGGGCGAAAGAGTGAGACTCCAACTTAAAAACAAAACAAAACAAAACAAAACCCCTCAATGGCTTCCCCACTCATTATATCACATAAAAACTCAAGCACTGATCAATACATCTGATTTTTAAATTGTGATCTGGGGAATTTATGAAATGCAGATGCCTGGTTCAGAATCTCCAGATGTAAGACCGTCAGTCTGTATTTAAAAAAAAAATTACAGGCGCTTCTGATGCAGTTGGTTGTTGGATCAGCGTAGAACCATTAGAATACAGCGCTCCCTTCGCAGCCCAGTACTTAAGGCTCCTCACAATTTCTCTCCCAGTTGCCTTTTCAGATCCATCTCTTACCATTGCTTCTTTACCTGTCAGTGTAAATGAGATTCTTCTTGGCTGTCTGGATGCTCCTCACACCTTCCAGTCACACTGTTTAACCTTCCAAACCCAGCCTCTTTTTGAAGCTTTCGCAACCAGAGGAGATCCCTGAACTTAATTCTGTAAAGTGGCTTACAACCACAGTCTGCTTTACATCATGGTTTGATTTGAATTCTCCAGCTCCCTGCGTCTCCCCCACTAAATTGTAAGATCTTCGTCAGCAGACATCTAGCTAGCCCTTTCTTATTCGCGCCTACAGAGGATTTTGCACTTTGTGAAGAGGTGATAAACAAGAACTTGTTGGATTAGTGACATTACCTGACTCGATCATTGTATATGCAGTGTTGTTAACTGTTTCTGGCTTTCAACATGTATTTGTGGATTCAATGAATAAATGAACGGAACCCCGCCTAACGCTGCCCGCAAAACTACAAATCCCAGCTGACGTTGCGCGGAACGTCGGCGGACGCGGTGACGTAAGGGGGCGTGCCGGGCCTGAGGGAGGGGTCGTCCTGCGGGTAGCCGGAGGCTGGTGAGGCTGTGGAGCCTGGGGTGAGAGCTGGAGTGCAGGGAAGGGAAAGGTGAGCAGAGCTGAAGGAGGGGACGCGCTGCCGGGCGCCCCCAGTCTATGGAGCGGGGTAAGATGGCGGAGGCGGAGAGCCTGGAGACAGCGGCGGAGCACGAGCGGATCCTGCGAGAGATCGAGAGCACTGACACGGCCTGCATTGGGCCCACGCTCAGGTACCCCGGCCACCAGGGCCCCCGACGGGCGGGAACCGGCGGGACCGGAGGCCGTCTCCTTTGGGTCCGCACGCCAGGGGGTCGCCTCCAGGGCCGCCGCCGGCCCCTCCCTTTGGGGATACCCGCTAGCGACCTGCATCCCGGCGAGGCGGGTCTCCCTCCGCAGTTCCAACGTGGGGTCCCTTTCCGTCCGCCTGCGTCCCACAGCCCAGTTACTCAGGAGGCTCCTGCCTCCCTCGAGGTTGGGGCAGCAGCCTTGGTTCTCACTCCGAGGCTGGCCCAGCTCCGGGGAACGACAGCGCCAGACTGATGGTGGCTTTTAGCCGATCTTCCCCAGGGGACATCACCCTCTCTCTCCGACTCAGACCCCGTCCTATCCTAGACATAAGTCCTGCTCTTCAGACAGAACAGAGTTTCACCCCACGGTCTGTTGCTCAAAATTAAACTCTCGCCTCAAAATCACAAGCACTGCTTAGAAGCGAGTTCCTGAAAATCCTAGGCCCTGGATGGAAGTTTCTCTCATCCCGCGCCCATCTCCTGGGAGCCGGCGCCCCTTGAGCCTTGTAAGAAGGGCGACCCCTCCCTATGGTGTAGCTTCGTGATATTCTCGTCGCTGAGGAAAATGCACCCCATTCCCGCCCCCCCTTACCATTGCTTTGTACTCACAACTCCAGTGTAGTTGGAAATGTCAAAACAAACCTCGAACTGCCTCAACTTGTTTAACAAAATTTAGGTAGTGCTTGTTACATTTACATACAGTGCTAGACAGTATATAAAATGATTTTTAAATCTAACTTATTTAAACCACAAAATAATCCTGTTCGATATATGCTATTACTCTCATTTTACAGAGGAGACGGCGAGAGGTAAAGTGACTTGCCCAAGGTCACAGAGAAAATAAAGTGGGGGACTCAGATTCCTACTCAGTTAATCTGGATCTAGACTGGACTCCTGTTGTTATGCAGTGATTGGGGATTACCAACTCCCCACATTTCCTGTTGACAGTTACTCACCAAGGCCAATTTTGAACTAATTTTTCCTTTCCTCTTATATTATCGGTGTCCTAGAATTAACTCATCTTCATCTCTTCCTGTTGTTTGCATCTCCATGCAGCTGATAGGTAATCATCTAACACTCCTTGCAGAGTCTTGGGACACTGCTCCTCCCTTCACAGAGTTATTACTCACTGCTTGCTCCCTCTCCCCACTCCCCGGAGAGTTGACTCATGAGAGTGACTGGAGGAAGGGCAGGCTGAAAACCACTCATTTCTACCTGCATGGCTTTCTTTTCAGGCATATTGTTAGCACAGTTCTCCCACTGCCGTCCCAGGTGGGTGGCAGCCAACCTTAGTAGTTTGCCTTTGTCCCTTCAAAGTGACTTTCAGCTTCCTTTTTGGACCATTTTTTTTTACGCAGTTGCTCCTCCACCCCATTGCATTATGACCGTGCCATCATGCTCCTCTAATTTCCCATTTTCTTCTTAAGGGCCAGTGATCCTCATTTTGTAGTCTTTACTTTGATAAAAACAAAGAGCTACTTACTAGTATTCTACTGAGTGCTTATTAATGGTTGTAAAATTTGGTTTTTATAAAATTAAATGTTATTAGAGTTACCTGGGATGCTGTTTCAATATTCTATTAAGAAATTTGCCTGCTAAGTTGCGGTTGTGAGTCCAGCAAAGCTCCCACTGAAGCGGTTGGGGTCACCTGAGATTTTAGGAAGAATTCTTTATTAGATCATCATCAACATTGTCTTGAGTGCTTGGGTTTTCAGTTGTTGTTCTTGTTTTGTATAATAAATGACTTTAACTTTTAGTATTATCGATTTAGTTTGTTGTGATTTATGTTATGTTAACCTTCCACTGAATAGTAATACATATTTGTATCAACTAAATTTTGGCCTGTAATTTTCCAGTGTGTTGACTTTAAGATTGTAGCTGTCAGTGTCTGTGGGGGATTGGTTCTAGGACCCCATACAGTTACCAAAATCCTTGGATGCCCAAGTACTTTATACAACATGAGGTAGTATTTGTATATAACCTATGCATATGCTCCCGTATACTTCAGATAATCTCTACATTACTTATAATAGCTAATACAATGTAAATGCCATGTTAATAGTTGTGTTGCTGTATTGCTTAGGTAATGATAAGAAAAAGTCTATACAGGTTTAGTACAGATGCAGCCATTAATCTTTTTTGAATATTTTTGATTCGAGGTTAGTTGAAGCCATGGATACAGAGGGTCAACTGTGTATGCATTATGGCTCAAATAATGCATGTATAGCATTATTTGAAAAGTGAGTTTTTTGGAGGTAGATTAAGGGATCTTTTGCCCTAAAGGGACACTGTAAAAAATGATTTGAAACCTGCTTGACTGTCTTACCAGCTATAGTTGCTTCTCCTGACTTATATCATTGTTAGGGGCTTTTCATTTTTGTTCTCATCTTTTCTTTGGCAGATAAACCCTATATCTTACTATTAGTCCCAAAGTTTACTCACCTGAACATCCTATAAGTAGTCCTCACTGTCTTTGTCTTGAGTCTAGCTTGTCCCTGTCCAAATTCATAGGGGATGATCTCACCTCTTTTCCTTATTCTGTAGAGGCAGCAGCATGCACAGATTTGATATTTCAGATCTGATCTTATGTCTTACCCTGGATAGAGCTCTGTTGTCATTATTTCTTGTTTTTCCATCACAACCATTAAACACGGTTGATTAAGGCAGTAGGCTCACTTCTTTACTACCTTCAATTGTACATCTGAGTCTTCTCTAACTCTTCTTCATAGTTTATGTTTCCTATTTCTGCCATCTTTTGAGGTAGCATTTTTAAGGCACCACATTCTTAGCTGTTTCTGAGATAGGTTTTCTAACTGTTGAGGAACTAAAGGACATAGAATATTAGTAAGTTGATAGCAGATATAAGATTAGTATACCCATCCTTAAAATGGCTTCTGTTCAAAAAAGTCTGCTTCGCTATGTTGTTTAACCAGACTCTTTTCCTTTGCCAGCTATTATTTGTGTATTATTGCTTGCTTTCTTTCTCTGTTATGAGACTGAATTATTCTCTAGTCTTATTCTTTTTGTTTGAGGAGTCACAGTGGCTTGACTTCTTCATTATATAAATATTCTTATTTTAGTTTTGTACGGTTCATGCAATGTTGGTTCCCATATATCATAAGAGAGTTCCTGTTATTTTTCATTGTAATTCTGTAAGGTCCAATCATATCCACACATATAGAAGTTGTTGCCTAGCAAATTCTTTTGGGAAAGTAGCCATCTCTTTCTTCTCTGTCTTCGTATTAAAAATTATTTTGTTGGCTGAAAGTCCTAATTTTGGAAAGAGGCCCATAAGATGTTAGTGCCTGCCTTTTAAAAACAATATTGATTTCTGCTTTGTATTACAAATACTAAAATTTTGATCACAAATTACTCATAGCTCCATGTTTTCATTTTTCAAATCCTAGCTCTTTATCTCTATGCATCTTTCATATCATTTACAGTAGAAATAATTTCTTCACTTTGCTTCCTGGGTAATAGCAATTAGTATTTAGTTTAATTACTATTTAAGATTTTTTTTTTTGAGTTGGATTCTCACTCTGTCGCCCAGACTGGAGTGCAGTGGCCGCTCCTGGCCACCGCAGCCTCGACCTGCTGGGGGCTCCGGCGATCCTTCTGTCTCAGCCTTCCAAGTAGCTAGAACTACAGGCGTGCGCTACCATGCCCGGCTAATTTTTGATTTATTGTAGAGATGAGGTCTCGCCAAGTTGCCCAGGCGGGTCTCGAACCCGCGGGCTCAGGCAATCCACTCACCTCAGCTTCCCAAAGGCGCGGGATTACAGGCTGAGCCACTGAGCCCGGCTAAGATTTTTGTTTTCAAACTTTAAAACTTAACAACGAAATACACAGCCATTTAAAAAGTAGCTTTATTGATATATAATTCATATATTATACAATTCACCCATTTCAAGCGTACAATTAAATGATTTTTTAGTGTGTACATTGAGTTGTGCAGCAATCACCACAATCTAATTTTAGAACATTTTCATTACCCCAAAATAAACTCTATACTCATTAGCAATCAGTTTTCATTCTGTTCCCCTCTTTTCCCAGGCAGTCACTCCTTTCTTTCTTTATGAGTTTGCTTATTCTGGACATCCATTTATATTCGTATAAATGGAATCATACAATATGTGTTTTTTTTAATAACTTAGTATAATGTTTTCAAGGTTCATCTATGTGGTGGCGTGTATCAGTACTTCGTTTCTTTTTGTTGCTAAATAATATTTCATTGCGTGCATATACTACATTTTATTTGTTTATCAAATGATGGACATTTGTTCATCAAATGATGCGTGCATATACTACATTTTATTTGTTCATCAAATGATGGACAGTCATTTCCATTTGGGGCTGTGGAACAATACTGCTACAACCATTTGTATAGTAGTTTTTGTGTGGATGTATTTTTTTTTTTTTTCTGGTATGTACCTAGGACTGGAATTTCTATGCCATGTGGAACTCTGTGTTTAACATTGTGAGAAACTGCCAGACTTTTTCAGTGTCTGCATCATTTTCCATTCCCATAGCAATGTGTACAGGTTCAAATTTCTTTACATCCTTGCCAGTACTTGTTATTATTATTTTTATTGTAGGCATCCTTGTGAGTGTGAAGTTGCATTTCATTGTAGTTTTGATTTGTATTTCCCTAATAACTGTTCTTTTTACATATGCTTATTGGTCATTGTTTATCTTCTTTGGATCATTTGCCCATTTTTAAATTGGGTTATTTGGTTTTTTTTTGTTGAGTTATAGGAGTTCTTTATAATTCTGAATATGTCTTTTATCAGATGTCTGATTTGCAAATACTAAAGTATGCTGTTCTTTGAGTTTTCTTTTCAGTTTGCTGTCCCTACATTTTTAATTTTGATGAAGTCTAGTTTATCTGTGTTTTCTTTTTTTACTTGTGCTTTTGTTGTTGTATCTAGGAAGCTTTTGCTCAA